TGTGCTGACGCAGAGCCAAGCGGGCCTTTCGAAGGCCCGCATCCTGTTTGACACTGTCTCGATCCTCAGGCTGAGGCTGAGGGGTGGAGCGGCCTGTAGGCCTCAAGACAGCCTTTCCGTTGCTCTTAGGCCTTGCTGTAAAAGTTCCCTGGGTCGACGTTTCCTACGTACCCTCCAAGTCTCGGGATTGCCTTGTGGAGGGCGGTTCAGTCCCCGATGCTGGGCAGCCCAGAAACTGCTTTTGGGGGGAGCTGGTCCCGCCGTAGGGCTGCCAGTCTGAAATGATAGACCTAGAGAAATGTAAACTGTTCTCTGGTGAGCCAATCCAAGCCGCACCAGTGGCATCCTTTCCACCCCATCTTTCCCCCCTTGTTTCACTCTCCCATGCAGTCGATGCTAGTGCAGGTGCAGCTGCAGGTGACATTCGGCAGGTACTCCAGAGGGAAGCCGAGGAGAAGAAGGAAAACAGGGAAGGGAAGGAGGGAGAAGAGCAAGACTGTGGGAAAGGACTCCTGGTTCCTTGGGCTTGTTCCAAGGCTTGCGCAGTTCCAGAATTAACGATTGGCTTGCTCAGTGGTGAAGTGGTTAAGAGCGGCGGCCTCTAATCTGGAGAACCAGGCTTGATTCCCCACTCCTCCACATGCAGCCAGGTGGGTGACCCAGGGTCAGTCACAAGTTTTCTCAGAGCTGTTCTCTCAAAAGCAGTCCTCGAAAGAGCTCTCTTGTGCCATTTTGGTGCGGTGGTTAAGTGTGCGGACTCTAATCTGGGAGAACCAGGTTTGATTCCCCACTCCTCCGCTTGCACCTGCTGGATGACCGTGGGCAAGCCATAGTTCTGTCAGAGCTGTCCTTGGACGAGCAGTTCTCTCAGAGCTCCCTCAGCCCCACCCGCCTCGCACGGTGCCTGTTGTGGGGAGGGGAAGGGGAAGGAGTTTGTAAGCCGCTCTGAGACTCTGAGTGAAGGGCGGGGTATAAATCCAATCCCTTCTTCTCTTCTTTTTCTTCTTTTTAGTGCAGAGTGCTTTTTTAAACATTTAAATCAACATTTTAATTTAAATAAAACGGACATCTGTAACAGCTATATAACGATTTGTAACATTTTGTGATAATCCTTGGAACAGTAACAATAACATATTATACCTCATAGCAATACATACATACAGTATTTTTTACTATTTTTATGGTAACTGTGTAACATCATCCTCTATGTAAACTATCTAATATCGCTGGAATCTCTTCTTGTGATTTTAAGAACGCAGAGTGCCCTGTCAGGCTAGAGAGAGGCTTGAGAGATGACAATAGCTAAGCCTGCAAGGCCTTATGGGAGAGGAACCAAACAGAGACGCCTCAGCTAATCCAGGCTGTTGTACAGAAATGCCCCCAGGCGCGCTGATTTTTCCTGCTACACATGTACGAGACTTTCCTTTTCTTAGAAATGAATTTTGACTAACCTTCCTTAGTTTGCTATTAATGTAAGAAGAAGAAGAAGAAGAAGAAGAGATTGGATTTGTACCCCGCCCTTCACTTGGAGTCTCAGAGCGGCTTACAAACTCCTTTCCCTTCCCCTCCCCACAACAGACACCCTGTGAGTTAGGTGGGGCTGAGAGAACTCTGACACAAACTGCTCTTTTTCAAGGACAGCTGTGCCAGAGCTTGTGACTGACCCAAGGTCACATCAGCAGGTGCAAGCGGAGGAGTGGGGAATCAAACCCGGTTCTCCCAGATTAGAGTCCGCACACTTAACCGCTACACCAAACTGAGGATTTGGATTTGGAAATTAATATAAAAGTCAGTTTTTACAATGTATTTTATTATTCTGTCGGGCAGCTGCCGACGGTTTTTTCCCCTCCAACCAGAGAGATGGGAGGCCCCTTGGATTGAGTCAGAGTATGTTACGTAACAAATCATAGAAAAGACAATATTTACAATCATTCAGAAAAAGCAAACGGGTAAATCTTGTCTTCTCATTCCAAAACACAGTAAAAGATTCTCCAAAGCTCATTAAATTTCTCTTTGGTCCGATTCAGCAAGAACTATTTTATGATCTCTGGGATTAGATGCCTGCCTTATATTGTCTGTCCCTCGTATTTGGTCCTCCAGAGAAACACTGCCAGTGTGGTGCAGTGGTTGAAAGTGTCAGACTAAAATCTTGGAAGACCCGGGTTTGAATCCCCCCACACATGCCATGGAATCTTGTAGGGTGATCTTGGGACAGTCACAGTCTCTCAGCCTGACTTACCTCACAGGAGTGTTGTGAGGATAAAATGGAGGAGAGGAGAAGGATGTAAGCTGCTTTGGGTTCGGTGTAGTGGTTAAGTCTGCGGACTCTGATCTGGGAGAACTGTGTTTGATTCCCCACTCCTCCACTTGCACCCGCTGGATGACCTTGGGCAAGCCATAGTTCTGTCAGAGCTGTTCTCTCAAGGACGGTTCTGGAAAGAGCTCTCTCAGCCTCACCTACCTCACAGGCAGTGTTCCCTCCAAGCTAAGTTAGTGTGAGCTCACTCACAGTTTTTTAGCCTCCGCTTCACAGATTTTTGTCTTGGCTTGGGAAGGATGGCTCCAGGGCATTGCTCACTCACAACTTTAATGCCGGTAGCTCACAAAGTAGAATTTTTGCTCACAAGACTCCACAGATTAGAGGGAGCATTGCTCACAGGGTACCTGTTGTGTGGAGGGGAAGGGAAAGGAGTTTGTAAGCTGCTCTGAGACTCTGAGTGAAGGGCGGGGGATAAATACAATCTCTTCATCTTCCTCTGGGTCACCCTTGGGGAGAAAGACAGGGTAGATATGAATTAAATAAAAGAAATAAACATCTGGCATCAAGATATCCTGAAGAACTTGCTTTGTGTTTGAAGAAGAAGAGTTGGTTTTATAACACACCCTTCATTACCCGAAGGAGTCACAGAGTGGCTTACAATCACCGTCTCTTCCTCTCCCCACAACAGACACCCTGTGAGGTAGGTGGGGCGGAGAGAGCTCTGGGAGAACTGCTCTGGAGAGAACAGCTCTGAGAGAACTTGTGACTGGCCCAAGGTCACCCAGCTGGCTGCAAGTGGAGGCATGGGAAATCAAACCCGGTTCTCCAGATTAGAGTGCACCGCTCTTACCCACTACACCAAACTGGCTTTGGGGGTCCGCCACCATTGTAGAATGCAAGGGAAATTCTCCGGTGGCTTCCCCCCCCCCTTCCTCCATTTAAATGCCAATCTGCCGTTTCCCTAGGTCTTCCCTCCAGTCCCTGTGATACCGGATTATGCCTACTATGCCAGGAACAAGGATCGGGAGTCTCTGGTGCCGCTGGCGGAGAAGCCCTGCCCTGTTTATATCTCTCCAATGAAAGGCAAGGATGGGTTTTGGGGACAGTGTTGGCTTGGAGCAGCGGATGTGAATGCGTGGGGGGGGGGAGAAGCATGCGTTGGGTATATCTATCTTTTAGTTGTTGTTCAGTCGCACAGTCGAGTCCGACTCTTCGCGACCCCATGGACCAGATCACGCCAGGCCTTCCTGTCTTCCGCCGTTCTCTGAAGTTGGCTCAATTTAATGTTCGTTGCATCTATATATCTATCTATATATAAAAGAAAGTCCCTTCACTGCAAAATCAATGCCCAGGCCAAACCGCTGAACCTAGAGACACCAGATTCGGGGAGAGCTCTCCTACCGTGACATAGATGCTCACTAAGAAGGGACTTTTAGAAATTCGGCCCCTAAGGGGGTCAAAAGGGGTAAAATGTGCTCCCCCCATTGATTCCTATGCGGCTGCCAGGCTGCTGCCTCCTTGCACCCCCCACTTTCTGATTGGTCAGCTGCAGAGCTCAGTGTTCTGAGGTTAAAAAAAGCAGTTACAGGGGACTGCAGAGAGCTCATGACAGTTGAGGAAAGCAGGAGTGGCCAACAACCGCCTGTGAGGTGAAGCAAAGCTGCTGGCCCAGCCTCCCTATGGCTTCAAGCATGTTCCCCACCAATGCTCCCTCTAAGTTGTGGAGTCTTGTGAGCACAAATCCTACTTTGTGAGCTACTGGCATTAAAGTTGTGAGCGAGCGATTTGGCTGCTGCATAAATCAGTTTGCTCTGGGGCCATTCCCTTCCTGAGCTGAGACCAAAATGTGTGAGCCGGCGGCTAAAAAACTGTGAGCTAGCTCACACTCACTCAGCTTAGAGGGAACACTGGTCCCCACCTCCTACACCGAACAGGCAGTTGTCTGTCAGGTGGTGCAGCGGTTGCAAGGTGCTTAAAGCCACGAGGGAGCCCGCCCCAGCAGTCTACGGAGAGGTCCTTCAGTCGAGAAAAAAGGACGTATGTCTCGCTTCATTTTTCACACCACAATCTTCTCCATTAGAATCCCTACAACAAATGTTAGCTTTCAAACTTCACATCATCAGCATTTATAACTGGATTGATGGAACTTAAATACCGTAGCAAAGCACGAATAGCAGGCTAGTAAGAACATAGATAAGTCTGAGTCTTCTTGCTCTCACCTGGACAGCCCCGGCTAGTATAATCTCATCAGATCCTGGAAGCGATGCTGGGTCGGCCCCGTTTAGTAGCAGTCTCAGTTCAGTTTATTGTAATTAGCCACTGGCTGTTACAAAATTACAGAATACAAATTGTGAACAAACTATAGGTTAATATCAGAATATATAAAAGTGGCAGACGTCAGTGGCAAAAATTTAACATAGCAGCCCGAGTAATGCACCTTCCCGATGCCACCTCGGAACATATATTCTTTGCAGCAAGGGCAAATAATGAAACTGTATAACAGACATAGGAGCTGCGGTGGCTCAAGTGGTTAAGACGCTGAACTGCAGGCTGTGGAAGGTCTGTAGTTCAGCGGTTTGAGACCCGAGTGCCGCATGACGGAGTGAGCTCCCGTCTCTAGTTCCAGCTCCTGCCAACCTAGCAGTTGGAAAGCAAGAAATTGCAAGTAGATAAACAGGTACCGCTTCGGTGGGAAGGTGACAGCGTTCCGTGTGCCTCGGCATCTAGTCATGCCGGCCACATGACCATGGAGAAGTCTTCGGACAGCGCTGGCTCTTCGGCTTGGAAACGGAGATAAGCACCGCAACCCTAGAGTCGGATTCGACTGGCTTTCGAGCAAGGGAAACCTTATCTATAAGAGACATATGCATCAATGTCAGATAACAGAAATAAAATTTTATCTTCAACTGGGTAAGCACTAAGACCAGATAAAATACCTGCTAAAAATCTAGCCCCTGGACTAGAATATACAGTGGGCAAAAGAGGATATAGTGAGGTAAATCCTCAAGTTCGTGGGTGCCAAAAATACATCGACGATGGGCCCATGGAGTGCGATTGAATCGGCCCTCCGAAATGGCCGTTGGCATTGATTGAAACCGTAGAGAGGTAAAGGACGCTCTAAGTACGTGTTCAGACATATTGACTAAGTATGGAGTTCTACTATGGTCTGCTTTAATTGCTTTGTACCATGGTGCCGCTTTTGATTTTAGTATCAAAGAGCGGTCTAGCCGGGTGTTAAAGTCATACATCTAGTTTCTAAGTTGGGATTTATCAACTGATGTTTCCAAAAGATCATCAGGAATAGTGTCTTGAACGTATGTTGTTAAGAAAGTCACTAATCTTTTAAGCTGCTGTTAACCCCATAAGCTGCGGTGGCTCAAGTGGTTAAGACGCTGAACTGCAGGCTGTGGAAGGTCAGTAGTTCAGCAGTTCAAGACCCGGGTGCCGCAAGACGGAGTGAGCTCCCATCTCTAGTTCCAGCTCCTGCCAACCTAGCAGTTCGAAAGCAAGAAATTGCAAGTAGATAAATAGGTACCACTTCAGTGGGAAGGTAACAGCGTTCCGTGCACCTTGGTGTTTAGTCATGCCGGCCACATGACCACGGAGAAGTCTTCGGACAGGGCTGGCTCTTCGGCTTTGAAACAGAGATGAGCACCGCACTCCCCGAGTCGGATTCGACTGGCTTTCGAGCAAGGGAACCTTTACCTTTACCTTTTTAGCCCCATTTAGTATTTGGATAGGAGACCACCTAGGAAGTTGAGGGTCACCATGCAGAGGCAGGCAAGGGCAAACCACCTCTGTTCATCTCTGTTGTCTTGAAAACCCTCCAGAGTCTTTGTAAGTCGGCTGCAACTTGGTGGCAAAGAGAGAGAGAGAGAGAGAAAGTTTTTCTTGGCGGAGAATATGGGTCCTTTTGTGCAACCCCTAAGAAGCACACTGGAGTTCACACAGTCCTTAATTTTTAACTCTTCAGTAGCCCTCCGTCGGGGCCGCGGTGGCTCAGAGGTTAAGACGCTGAAGCTGCAGACTGGAAGGTCTGTAGCTCAGCAGTTCGAGACCCAAGTGCCGCGGGATGGAGTGAGCTCCCGTCTATGGCCCCGGCTCATGCCAACTTAGCAGTTCAGAAGCAAGAAATTGCAAGGAGATAAACAGGTACCGCTTCAGTGGGAAGGTAACAGCATTCTGTGTGCCTTGGCGTCTGGTCATGCCAGCCACATGTGACCACGGAAACGTCTTCGGACAGCGCCGGCTCTTCGGCTTGGAAATGGAGATGAGCAGCGCCCCCTAGAGTTGGATTCGACTGGATTTTGAGCGAGGGAAACCTTTAGCCCTCCGTCAGAGCTTTTGGACATGGGTGCCTCTTAGTCTCTTCAATCCAGATGGAATGTTAATTCCCGCAAGGGAAGCTGGGGCGTAGAGGGGAGGTGATCACAGGCTCCCCGGCTCCTTCTTGCTTCCTCTTTGTGTTTCTTCTGGCTGATTTGTTCTCTCCTCCCCCAGTCCTGTGTCACATGGAGGGGAGCGGCCAGTGGCCTCAAGACCAGGAAGCCATCCGGCGGATCAAGGCCGCCTTCCAGATCCAGCTGGCGGAACTCCTGCGCCGGCAATACCACCTCCTCTGCCGGCCCGGCCCTGCCTACACTGATGTCTATAAGGTAACGGTCCACGAGAATAACACACAATCCCAGGACAGTCTGCTATGAAAAAATATACAGATGTGTGCTAGATGCCCACAGAACAATACAATAACAAAAGAGACTAGGTTCTTACCTTTAAAGCCCTATATGACCGGGGTCCGACATACCTACGGGACCGCCTTTCCCCATACATACCCCAGAGAGCACTACGGTCTGGGTCTCAAAATTTGTTAACCCTCCCTGGCCTGAGGGAGGCCAGGCTAGCTACTACCAGGGCCGGGGCCTTTTCAGTGGCGGCCCCTACCTGGTGGAACGAGGTCCTGGAGGAGATCAGGGCCCCGCGGGACCTTTCACAGTTCCGCAGGGCCTGCAAGATGGAGCTCTTCCACCAGGCATTTGATTAGGGGCCGTCGCTGTCGTAGAACCCTGGCTCGTGGTTTTAACATGGAGCCATGGCCCGTGGCTTTAACATCGCGCCGATGCCATAAGAAGTTCTGAGCAGAAGAACATTGAGAAGATATGGGAAGGGGTAATTCATCTTGAAAATGAGCCATCTAAGTTGATCTTTTAACTGCTGCCAGCACCTTGTGTTTGTATTTTATCTGTTGTATTTAAAACTAGGAAAAAGGCTCGTTGTGGAAATAAATACAACGGTCTCTAGAAAGAGGCTCTGGGCGGGTGCCCCGGCCTTGGACACTCAGTGTCAATTTGCTGTGGCGATCTCAGCAGGGTATTTTCTCCAGAGGAACTGATCTCTGCTACCTAAAGAACAGAGGTCCCATGCCTCCTGAAACCTCAACCTCTCCAGGTTCCATCCCTCACATCTCCAGGAATTTCCCACCTGGAGTTGGCAACCCTATCTCCTTCCCAGCCAATCATCAACCTACCTTTATTTCCCCCTCACTCTTCAGCTTTCCACCCCCCACACACCTGCAGCCTCTCCCGTGCTCTGAAGCCCTGACTGCTATGTCACATTGGCTGTCATACGGGGGCCACCTCAGCAGCATATAAGGATACAGAGCCTACCATTTTCTCCAGGGGAACTGATCTCTGCCATCTGGAAAGCAGTTGTAATTCTGAGTGATCTCCAGCCCTCACCTGGAGATTGGACACATTTTACCTCAGAACAGCAAAACTGTTTAGAATGTTAGAGGCAAAAGCCAATCAAGTCGCATATGCAAACGACCTCTGTGTTCCGAGGCAAAGGCCAGTGAGGCTGCATATGCAAATAACCTCTGTGTTCTGACTGGCTATGGGGGGGACAGGACGACAGCCAACTGTTTAGAATGTTGGAGGTGAGACTCAAGCAATGCAGCCAGTGGATAGGGACAGATTCTGAGTGACACACCTGGGCGCCAACCAATTCCGGAGCGTGTGGAATGTTCTAGAGAAGTGCCACCACCATTCGGCTTTTATTTATAAGGGAGATAACTGTATGATTTTAACTGTATTTAAGTTTGTATGGAAGCCGCCCTGAGTCTGCTTTGCGGGGAGGGTGGGGCATAAATCTAATAAATAAATAAATAACATCATTTAGTGTGCAGTAATGAAAACAACCACTTATTCCTTCATAGAAAAATTACAAAGGTCAATGAAATTATACACAGCCGTCTGCTCCAGACTCTTCTAGGTTCGCTGGAGCAAGTCCGCTGGCCTTGTCCCTCCTCTGTTGGCGCGCTGGAGGAGGCGGCTGCCGAAGGCGGCAGGTCTCGGCCATCCACAGCGTCTGGCCAAGCCGGGCGGGCTATCTCCTTCCCCGCCTGCTCGCGGGCCCGGCATGCCAAGGCAGCTGGCCTCTCCCCACCGGCTGCCTAAGCGAGCGAGCGGCACACGTAGCAGTGGAGTGGCGGTGAGCGAGGGACGGCCGCTCGCTGCCTGTTCTAGCTGCGCGCGTGCCAAGCCAGCTAGCCTTGTCCCTCCCCCCCATCCCCCCAGCCAATGGCATGCCAGTTGCCCCGAGTGGCAGCCGGCGGCCCAATGGCTGAGGGAGCGCATTTCTTCTCACCACCCCATAGGCCGGTAGCCACCCCAAAATGCTTTTATATAATAGGAGAGATTCATGCCCACCTGGAGGTTGGCAACTCTGTCCATAAGGCCGGAACGCATTATCATAAATCAGACATCCGCCGCAACCTGGTTCTGTACTTCCAGCGACGGGTGCGTATTAGACTCGCCAGTCTTTCCACCAGGGAAGCAAGATAGTGCTGGCATTACAGAAGTGCGCCAGGAGGGAAGAAGGGATACTAAAGGAGGAGCGGAGGGGTTTTGCCAGGGCGGCTGACGGGAGCGCGTGCTTGGTGTAGTGGTGAAGTGCGCGGACTCTGATCTGGGAGAACTGGGTTTGATTCCCCACTCCTCCACTTGCACCTGCTGGATGACCTTGGGCAAGCCACAGCTCTGTCAGAGCTGTTCTGGAAAGTGCTCTCTCAGCCCCACCCACCTCACAGGGTGTCTGTTGTGGGGAGGGGAAGGGAAAGGAGTTTGTAAGCCGCTCTGAGACACCTTCGGGTAGTGAAGGGCGGGGTATAAATCCAATCTCCTCCTCCTCTTCCTCCCCCCCTCCTCCTCTTCTAATTTAGAGAACCAGACTCCACTCCTACACATACAGCCAGATGGGTGACCTTGTGTCAGTCACAACTCCCTCAGAGCTGTTCTCTCAAGAGCAGTTTCTGTCAGAGTTCTTCCAGCTGCACCTGTGGGGAGAGGGAGGGAAGGAGATTGTAAAGCCGCTCTGAGACATGGGGTCTGAACTGGCAGAGACTGAGCAAGAGAGAGATCTTGGAGTTGTAGTGGATAACTCACTGAAAATGTCGAGACAGTGTGTGACTGCAATAAAGAAGGCCAATGCTATGCTGGGGATTATTAGGAAGGGTATTGAAAACAGATCAGCCAATATAATAATGCCCCTATATAAATCAATGGTGAGACCTCATTTGGAGTACTGTGTGCAGTTCTGGGCACCACACCTTAAAAAGGATATTATAGCTTTGGAAAAAGTGCAGAAAAGGGCAACTCGAATGATAAAAGGGTTGGAACACTTTCCCTATGAGGAAAGGTTAAAGCGCTTAGGGCTCTTTAGCTTGGAGAAAAGACGACTGAGGGGTGACATGATCGAGGTTTATAAGATTATGCATGGGAAAGAGCAGGTAAAGAAAGAGGTACTTTTCTCCCTTTCTCACAATACAAGAACTCGTGGGCACTCCATGAAACTGCAGAGCGGTCGGGTTAGAATGGATAAAAGGAAGTACTTCTTCACCCAAAGAGTGATTAACACATGGAATTCACTGCCACAGGAAGTGGTGGGTGCTACAAGCATGGACGGCTTCAAAAGGGAATTAGATAAGCATATGGAGCAGAGGTCCATCAGTGGCTATTAGCCACAAGGTATAGCTAGGGGCTCTGGGGCAAGTGATGCTCTGTCTTCTTGGTGCTTGGGGGGGGGTCAACAGTGGGAGGGCTTCTAATGTCCTGGCCCCACTGCTGGACCTCCTGATGGCACTGGTATTTCTGGCCACTGTGTGACACAGAGTGTTGGACTGGATGGGCCTTTGGCCTGATCCAACATTGGCGTCTCTTATGTTCTTATGTTCTTATGAGACTCCTTCGGGTAGTGAAGGGCGGGGTATAAATCCAATCTCTTCTTCCTCCTCTTCCTCCTCTTCCTCTTCTTCCTCTTCTTCCTCTTCTTCCTCTTCCTCCTCCTCCTCCTCTTCTTCCTCTTCTTCCTCTTCCTCTTCTTCTTCTTCTTCTTCCTCTTCCGCTTCTTCCTCTTCTTCCTCTTCTTTTTCCTCTTCCTCTTCTTCTTCTTCTTTTTTTCCCTCCCAGGACGGCTACGTCTTCCGCCTCCGAGTGGCCTACCACCGAGAGCCGCAGATCCTGAAGGAGGTGGTCACCCCAGAGGGCATGCTGAAGTACCAGGACACCGAGGAGTCCCTGCGGCTCGAACTGGAGACCCTCCACCTGCCCTTCCTGACCAGCACTCTTCACGGGTGAGGGAGTAAGAGTGGCCCCGCTGTGTCTGTGAAGGGCCACGGTCCTGTCAGCGCACCCTGGGGACCTGCCTGCAGGAGACTGGGGATCCTCCGCGTCAGAGCCGCTCCTTGGCAACCGAGGGTGTGGCAGAGGGGCCAAAGGGGTCGGCCATCGGTGTTCACCAAAAGCAGGTCTCCTGGTTGCCCAGACCAAGGTTGGCTTGGGATTGTAAGGCCATTTCTCCCCTCAGTCCAGGAGAAGTGGCTATTAGCCAGAAGGAATAGAGGGAACACTCTGTCTGGGGCAATTGATGCTCCGTATTCTTGGTGCTTTGGGGGGGGGCAACAGTGGGAGGGCTCCTAGTGTCCTGGCCCCACTGGTGGACCTCCTGATGGCCCCTGGTACTTTTGGCCACTGTGTGACACAGCATGTTGGACTGGATGGGCCATTGGCCTGATCCAACACTGGCTTCTCTTACGTTCTTATGTCTGGGGCAGTGACGCTCTGTATTCTCATTGCTTGGGGGGCAACAGTGGTAAGGCTTCTGGAGTTCTGGCCCCACTGCTGGACCTCCTGAAGGCACCTGGTTTTTGGCCACTGTGTGACACAGAGTGTTGGACGGGATGGGCCATTGGCCGTATCCAACATGGCTTCTCTTATGTTCTTAAGAGCAGAAGTCCATGTGGGGCTATTAGCCGCAAGGTATAGATGGGACATTCTGTCTGGGGCAGTGATGCTCTGTCTTCTTGGTGCTTGGGGGGGCCACAGAGGGAGGGCTTCTGTGGTTCTGGCCCCGTTGGTGGACCTCCTGAGGGCACCTGGTGTTTTTGGCCACTGTGTGACACAGAGTGTTGTACAGGATGGGCCACTGGGCTGATCCAACATGGCTTCTCTCATGTCCTTTTGAGGGGATGGCGCAGAGGCAGAATCTCTGTAGACCGTTCAGCACAAGACCTGCTCTGTGTTCAAATTATAACAGCCACACCGTTGGGCGGTCGGCGTCCTGCAGAGTCCATAGTCATATTCACAGCAGAATTCCCCCACAGACACAGTTTTTGGCTTGATTGTTCAGTCAGAGTAGGCCTCTCCTCGCTGCTCTCTGTGGAAGGTGGGTTCTTGTTTTATGCCTTTTATCAGAGCACCTCTTCCCCCTTCCCTACCTATCACTTGCCCAAGTCCAAGAGATAAAGTGGGATGCCAGTCTCAGTGGGTACCATACCGAGGGTAACCAAAACACTAGAACTCGAGGGCATCCGATGAAGCTGATGGGCAGTAGGTTCAGGACTGGCAAAAGGAAATACTACTTTACGCAGGGAGTGATTAAAGTGTGGGATTCGCTGCCGGAGGATGTAATGATGGTCACAGGAGTAGACGGCTTTCAAAGGGGATTAGAGAGATTCATGGGGGATAAGCCTGTCAATGGCTACTAGCCATGGTGACTGGGGGGAACCTCCACATTCAGAGGCGGTCAGCCTCTGAAACCCAGAGCCAGGAGGCAACATCAGGGGAAGGCCTTGGCCTCTGTCACCTATTGTTGGCCCTCCGGAGGAACTGGCTGGCCACTGTGTGAGACAGGAGGCTGGACTGGATGGACCCTCACTGGTTTGATCCAGCAGGGCTCTTCTGATTTTCTTCTCAGGGGAAGGCCTCGGCCTCTCTGCCCTGTTGTTGGCCCTCCAGAGGAACTGGCTGGCCCCCGTGTGAGACGGGAGGCTGGACTAGATGGACCCTCACTGGTCTGATCCAGCAGGGCTCTTCTGATGTTCTTCTCAGGGGAAGGCCTCGGCCTCTCTGCCCTGTTGTTGGCCCTCCAGAGGAACTGCTTGGCTGCTGTGTGAGACACGATGCTGGACTAGATGGACCCTCACTGGTCTGATCCAGCAGGGCTCTTCTGAGGTTCTTCTCAGGGGAAGGCCTCGGCCTCTATGCCCTGTTGTTGGCCCTCCAGAAGAACTGGTTGGCCGCTGTATGAGAAGGGATGCTGGACTAGATGGACCACTGGTCTGATCCAGCAGGGCTCTTCTGAGGTTCTTACGAGGGGTCGTTGCTTTCTGTTTCCAGCCTGCAGCAGCAGCATCCAGCTTTTGGGTCCACCTGCCGCCTTGCCAAGCGCTGGGTCAGTGCACAGATGTTGAACGACAGCCTTTCAGAGGAGTGTGTGGATTTGCTGGTGGCGTCCCTCTTCCTCTGCCCAGCACCTTACATGGCGCCCAGGTAAGGGCCTTTGGCACTGGCCGCTTCGCTTCCTACTTGGCTTGATTAAGAAGAGAGACTGGATTTATCCCCCGCCCTTCACTACCCAAGGGAGTCTCAGAGCGCCTTACAAACTCCTTTTCCTTCCCCTCCTCACAACAGACACCCTGTGAGGCAGGTGGGCCTGAGAGAGCTCTCCCAAGGACCGCTCTTGAGAGAACAGCTCTGAAAGAACTTGTGACTGACCCAAGGTCACCCCAGCAGCTGCACGTGGAGGAGTGGGGAGTCAAACCTGGTTCTTCCAGATTAGAGTCCACGCTCCTAATCACGACACCAAACTGGCTCTCTGTTAAAATACAGCCTTGCCAGGAACTCAAATTTGGAGGCAAGAATGCATCGGAGTGCCTTACGGTGGAGGCAGAGAAACAGGAGAAGGCCGTCACTCTGCTTGTGGGCTTCCTCAGCATCTCACCAAGCATCTCACCAGGAGGGGCTGTGGCTCAGTGGTAGAGCATCTGCTTGGGATGCAGAAGGTTCCAGGTTCAATCCCCGGCATCTCCAGTAAGGGTCAGGTATCAGGTGATGTGAAAGACCTCAGCCTGAGATCCTTGAGAGCTGCTACCAGACTGAGTAGACAACACTGACTTTGATGGAGAGGGCCAGTTTGGTGTGGTGGTTAGGAGCACGGACTCTAATCTGTGAGAACCAGATTTGATTCCCCACTCCTCCACGTGCAGCTGCTGGTGTGACCTTCGGTCAGTCCCACTGTCTCTAGAGCTGTTCTCTCAAGGGCAGTCCTTGAGAGAGCTCTCTCAGCCCCACCTACTTCACAGGGGAGGGAAGGGAAAGAAGATTGTAAGCCACTCCTTCAGGCAGTGAAGGGCGAGGTATAAATCCAGTTTCGTCGTCGTCTTCAAACTGGCAGCGGCTCTCCAGGGTCTCAGGCGGGGGTCTTTCCCATCACCTCCTGCCCGGTCCTTTTTAACTGGAGATGCCGGGGATTGAACCTGGGACCTTCCGCATGCCAAGCAGAGGCTCTGAGCCAGAGCCCCTCTTTACAGCTCTCCAGGGTCTCAGGCGGAGGTCTTTCCCATCACCTGCTGCCTGGTCCTTTTTAACTGGAGATGCCGGGGATTGAACCTGGGACCTTCCGCATGCCAAGCAGAGGTTCTTCCACTCAGCCACGGCCCCTCTTTACAGCTCTCCAGGGTCTCAGGCAGAGGTCTTTCCCTTCACCTGCTGCCTGGTCCTTTTTAACTGGAGATGCCGGGTATTGCCAACCTTTACTTTGAGATACCTTTATCTGCTTAATGCCTTTACCTCTAGCCCCGTTTCATGTCCCTTTTCTCCTCCCGCAGTTCTCCCCAGGTGGGCTTCCTTCACTTCCTTCGCCTGCTCGCCACCTTCGACTGGAAGAACAGCCCTCTCATCGTCAACCTGAATGCTGAACTCAAAGGTGAGCAAGGCGGGCAACGGGAATGGTGCCAGGGAGTCAGTGTTCCCTCTAAGCTGAGTTAGTGTGAGCTAGCTCACAGTTTCTTAGCCTCCGGCTCACATGTTTTTTGTCTCAGCTCAGGAAGGGATGGGGCTCATTTATGCAGGAACCAAATCGCTCGCTCACAACTTTCATGCCGGTAGCTCACAAACTAGAATTTCTGCTCACAAGATTCCATAGCTTACCAGGGAGTGCTGTGCACGGTGCATGTTGGAGTAAGCTGGCAAACAGGACAGGCTTTTTTGAGCGTCAGTGGCAGAAGGCCCGTCTCTCCAGGTGTCCTTGCGTGGTCTCGGCTCAGGCGGAGCTGAGAGGGCGTGCAGCTTCCTTTATTTAACGTTTCCTGTTTTCTCTGCACCTTGTTTTTGGAGAGGTTTAGTAACCTGATCTCCGCCGTGGAGCCAGGTGCTTCGTAATCCAGTTTGTACGGCTCCAGATTAGAACCTTCCTGCTCTTTTGTTTTAAAGATCGTTTGACTTTGCACACACCTCAGGTGGTGGCAACCACATCATTTTTCTTTGTTCCACTTCGGGGCGTAAGAAACCCTGGGCCAGATGTGGCCCGCCCCTGTTTTGTTTCATGTTTCTGTCCTTGGCCTCTGATATTTGGAGGTGCGCTGCCTCTTGTTGTGGCCGTTCCATGTCACTATCATGATGAACAGCCACTCCTGGACCTCTCAATCCTGCATTTGCCCAAATTCTTAGATCAAAACTTTTAGATTGAGTAGTGTTAAGTCAGGGGTGTCTAACATGAGGCCCGGGGGCCAGATCAGGCCCCTGGAGGGCTTCTCTCAGCCCCGCAGTTGAACTGGCTGTCTTCTGCTTCTTCTTCCAGTTCTGCTGCTGCTGTGTCATCGTAGGTTTGCAGCTTACAGATGCACACCTGAACAGCATACTCAAGATTGCAACAGCACAGGCATTTTGATGCAATAAATCAGAGCAAGAGGTGTCAGTTATCAGATACTGTTAAATAAACAAAATATTGCAGGAGTGCTGATGTTTTAAGCAGGTTTTGATTTTAAGTAAAAAAGAACCCAACCTTTGGGTTTGTGTCTTTTATAAAGTTTATATCTCTGCTACCTGGCATTACCCAGCCCAACAAGGTCTCATTTATGTCAGATCCGGCCCTCATAACAAATGAGTTCGACACCCCTGTGTTAAGTCTTTGTGTAGCAGTAGCAAAGAGCAAGAGTCCAGGAGCACCTTAAAGACTAAAAAAGTTTATGGCAGGGGAGGAGCTTTTGTGAGTCACGGCTCCCTTCTTCAGACACAGCTAAAATGTGAGTTCATCTGTCCTTATATCATAAGGCTGGTGGATTTCCATTCTGTACAGCCAAATGTGGTGCGTTTCACAGAGACAGATCAAGACGGGCGGCCGCGTTAGTCTGTCTGTGGCAGTAGAAAAGAGCGAGAGTCCAGGAGCACCTTAAGGACTAACACGGTTTGTGGCTGGGGAGGTGCTTTCGTGAAGCACTGCCCGCTTCTTGAAAACATAAGAGAAGCCAACGTTGGATCAGGCCAAAGGCCCATCCAGTCCAACACTCTGTGTCACACTCTGTGGCCAGAAATACCAGGGGCCATCAGGAGGTCCAGCAGTGGGGCCAGGACACTAGAAGCTCTCCCACTGTTGCCCCCCCCCCCCCGAGCACCGAGAATACAGGGCATCCCTTGCCCCAAACCGAGAGTTCCTGTCTATACCTTGTGGCTAAGAGCCACTGATGGACCTCTGCTCCAGAAGCTTATCTAATTCCCTCTTCTAAGAACTTAAGAGAAGCCAATGTTGGATCAGGCCAAAGGCCCATCCAGTCCAACACTCTGGGTCACACAGTGGCCAAAAATACCAGGTGCCGTCAGGAGGCCCAACAGTGTGGCCAGGACACTAGGAGCCCTCCCACTGTTGACCCCCCCTCCCCTTAAGGACTAACAAGGTTTGTGGCTGGGGAGTAGCTTTTGTGAGACACTGCTCACTTCTTCAGATACAGCTAGAATGTGGGCCTCCCGCCCGCTTTCTTCATTGTCCAGTTTTCACACCCATACATATTAGTGGGGAATACTGTGGCATGTTAGTGTGGAGTGGAGTGAATGAGAGGCCCTGCCTTGCTAGGACCGCCTCTCTCAAAGCCGCTGCACCTGCGTTCATCTGAGAAGGTCTCTGGTGGCGTGTATTGTGCCTGTCCTCTTGGCTTCATGCCACAAAGGCCTCGAATCCCTGCGAATGTTCCTTCTCCTCCTCCTCCTCCTTCCCCCTCTTGGGTTTCAGTTTTGTGATCCCGCAGGAGGCTCTTGGGTTGTTTAATGAGTTGCTTTGATAGTCGAGTTTCAGCTTTGATCTCGTAGAAATCCCCCTCCCCCCCCCTCCATTATTGTAGGGTTCATACCTGTAAGAGCAGGTAGACAAAGAAAGAAGTACTTTTCTCTCTTTCTAGAGGAGGTAGAGAAAGAGGTACTTTTCTCCCTTTCTCACAATGCAAGAACTCGTGGGCACTCCATGAAATTGCTGAGCGGTCGGGTTAGAACGGATAAAAGGAAGTACTTCTTCACCCAAAGAGTGATTAATACATGGAATTCACTGCCACAGGAGGTGGCGGCTGCTACAAGCATGGACGGCTTCAAGAGGGAATTGGATAAACATCTGGAGCAGAGGTCCTTCAGTGGCTATTAGCCACGAGGTATAGATAGGAAGTCTCGTTCCGGGGCAAGTGATGCTCTGTATTCTTGGTGCTTGGGGGGTGGGGGCAAAAGTGGGAGGGCTTCTAGTGTCCTGGCCACACTGCTGGACCTCCTGATGGCACCTGGTATTTTTGGCCACTGTGTGACCCAGAGTGTTGGACTGGATGGGCCATTGGCCTGATCCAACATTGGCTTCTCTTATGTTCTCTTGCGTTCTTAACTCTCTCCCTCCCCAACACACACACCTCTTTGGGGGGTGGGGGTGGCCAGAGGACAAGAGAACGTCTCATTGAATTTTTTAAAATGGCCCCTCGTGAAGGAAACTCCCTTGGCGTGGCTGTATGTAGATGGGAGGATCGCCAATTTCCTGGCTGTCCACAAACTATGCAAAACTGGAGCGCATAAAACCAGACACGTCATTGGAAGGAAAAGTCATAAAACTGCGACTGACTTATTTCGGCCACGTCATGCGGAAGAACTCACTAGAAAAAGCAATTGTGCTTGGATTGGTTAGCGGCAAAAGGAAACTGGGCCGCCAGAGAACATGGTGGCTAGAAACCAGAAAAGTCGACACCAGCCTGAACATGGAACGACTCAAAGAAACAGTGCAAGATTGGAAAACGTGGAGAGAGCTGGCCCATTGAATCACCAGGAGTCAGACATGACTGAATGGGTAGCAACAGCAACAACATGCAAAACTGAACAAAGTTTGAGTCCGGTGGCACCTTTAAGACCAACGAAGTTTAATTCTGGGGGTAAGTTTCCCTGAAGACGTGTGCATGCCCACGAAAGCTCACACAGTGAATAAAACTTTGTTGGTCTTAAAAGTGCCACTGGACTCAAACTTGGTTACGTTGCTTCAAACCAATGCAGCTTGTGAGCTACCAGCATTGAAGTTGTGAGCAAGCCATTTGGCTCCTGCATTAATCAGTTTGCTCTGGAGACCTCCTTCCTGAGCTAAGACAAAAATGTGTGAGCCGGAGGCTCCTATCTGGTGGAATGAGCTCCCAGAGGAGATCAGGGCTCTGCGGGACCTAGCACAGTTCCGCAGGGCCTGCAAGACGGAGCTCTTCCGCCAGGCTTTTGAATAGGAGCCGCCACCACTAGTCCACCACTAGTCCACCAGCAGTCCATCATTAGTGCACTAGTGCACCACCATCGCACTAGCTACCATCTATCCCCCATATATGGACATCAAGATGGGGCATGCACATCTAGTTGCTGCATTATGGGCGAGAACGGGATGGTCAGGGATAGTCATCTTGCTTTTAGAAATTTTAGAATTTGTACAGATTGTATAATTTGCTAGGCATCAAAATCTGTTTTAAATAGGGCTGTAATTTAATATTTTGTATTGTTTTATGGTTTTATCTGGGAATATGCCCTGTAAGCCGCCCTGAGACTCCGGGGAGGGCGGGATAAAAATGTGAATAATAAATAAATAAATAAATAAATAAATAAAAAACTGTGAGCTAGCTCACACTAGCTCAGCTTAGCGGGAACACTACTCCCCACCTGAATCTATGCAAAACTGAAGTATTCAAGAGAACTTTTATGGACAGGCAGTAGAGTTGTTCTGTACTAAATGATTCACAAGGTTACGTGGATAGATTGTTAGGGACTGTGATCTGTGCTACTGTGTACGGCTTGCTGAAACTGGGGCCCTACAGTGTAATTTTTGCGTCACTCAATGTGTCATGTTAATACTTCTGCTTTCCTTCAGTTCTGTTTTAAGACTTCTGGTTTAGTTCACCAACCCTAATTCCTCTTGTATTCTTTGTTGAATGTCCAATCTGGTCGATTGCACTGACTCACTCTATGTAATCTTTCCTGAGTCTATGTGTGAAATGGTAAATAAAACAAAAAAATTAATTTGTAGGTGATACCCCCCCCCCACCGGCTTATAGGGGTCAGAAACCATCTCGTCCAGCCCATGACCACTGCTGTCCAGTCCTCCCTGTGCCCCAAACGATGAGTTGGTGCCCCAGTTAAGGGCTTCTGTGGAACAAATGCCTTCAGATCACTTGAGTAAAACAGCATAAGAAGGACATAAGAGAAGCCAATGTTGGATCAGGCCAGTGGCCCATCTAGTCCAACACTCTGGGTCACACAGTGGCCAGAAATACCAGGTGCCATCAGGAGGTCCAGCAGCGGGGCCAGGACACCCGAAGCCCTCCCACTGTTGCCCCCCCCCCCAAGCACCAAGAAGACAGAGCATCACTTGCCCCAGCTGGAGAGTTCTTATAAGAGCATAAGAGAAGCCAATGTTGGATCAGGCCAGTGGCCCCTCCA